GAAAACAGAGACAGATAAATGGGACTATCTTAAACTAAGTAGCTTCTGCACCTCCAAAGAAACAGTGACCAAAATACAAAGACAGTCTACAGAATGGGAAAAGATATTCACCGAATACACATCTGACAAGGGGTTGATATCCAGGATATACAAAATACTGGTTAAACTCCACAAGAAGAAAACATCCAACCCCATCCAAAAATGGGGCAATGAAATGAACAGAAACTTTCTCGAAGAAGAAATCCGAATGGCAAAAAAGCACATGAGAAAATGCTCTACATCATTAATCATCAGGGAGATGCAGATCAAAACCACAATGAGATACCATCTCACACCTCAGAGACTGGCCCACATTCAAAAGAACAAAAGCAACCGATGCTGGCGTGGATGTGGCGAGAAAGGGACACTCCTTCACTGTTGGTGGGAATGTCCACTGGTTCAGCCCTTCTGGAAAACAGTATGGACGATTCTCAAAAAATTAGAAATTGAGCTCCCATTTGACCCAGCAATGCCACTCCTGGGAATATATCCCAGAGAGGCAAAAATGTATAGTCGAAGTGACATCTGCACTTGTTTGTTCATTGCAGCACTCTTTACAATAGCCAGAAACTGGAAGAAACCTGAATGCCCAAGAACAGATGACTGGTTAAAGAAACTTTGGTACATCTACACAATGGAGTACTATGTAGCTCTTAGAAAAGATGAAGTCATGAAATTTACATACAAGTGGTACAATATGGAAAGTATCATGCTAAGCGAAATGAGTCAGAAAGAGAGGGATAGACATAGAAAGATTGCATTCATCTGGGGGATATAAAGTAACAAAGTATGAGATTAATACCCAAGAATAGCTGAGATCAGCACCAGGAGGATTACTCCATAACTTAGAGGCCAGCCAGGTATCCTAGAGGAAAGGGCAGTTCAGATAGAGAAGGGAGCACCAAATAAAGGATGTTTGGAGGATCCTCGCAGGAGGGGAGATGCATGTCGAAAGTAGACTATGGACTGAACATGTTTGCCACTCAATGCCTCTTTTGCAGACCACAACACCCAAAAGGAGAGAGAGAACACAGGGGATTGCCCTGCCACAGAGACAGGGGGGATGGGGGGATGGGGGTGGGAGGGATATTATCCATGGTGGTGGAAAATGGGCACTGGTGGAGGGATGGGTATCTGATCATTGTATAATTGAAACCAAAGCACAAAAAATTGTAAATCTACAACTTTAAAAAAATAAAATAAAGGGAAAAAAAACTGAAAAAAAAAAAAGAGTTGTCTGTGGTTAAAGAAACTTTAGTATATCTACCCAATGGAGTACTATGCAGCTGTTAGGAAAAATGAAGTCATGAAATTTGTTTATAAATGGATGGTCATGGAGAATATCATGCTAAGTGAAATGAGTCAGAAAGAGAGAGGGACAAACATAGAATGACTGCACTCATTTGTGGAATATGAAATAAAATAATATGAGACTGACACCCAGGAATAGTAGAGACAGGGCCAGGAATGTTGCTCCATGGTTGGCAGTTTGCCTTATGAGCTGGGGAAGAAGGCAGCTGGAATAGAGAAGGGGTCACTAAGTCAATGATGGTTGGACGGTGAGTTCCGAAGGGAGATATGTGCTGAAAGTAGATAAAGGACCAAATATGATAGACTTTCAGTATCTGTATTGCAAATCATAATGCCCAAAAGTAGAGAGAGAATATGGGGGAAATTGTTGGCCAGAGAGGTATGGTGAGGAGTAGGTATTTGGTGGGGAGAATACTGACAACATTGGTGGTGGAAAATGTGCATTAGTGGAGGGATGGAATAAGGACCTAGAAGCCAAACTTACTACAAAAATTATTAATTTTAGAGAAGTTGAGTTTTAGATAGGATCTGCATATTTCCTAGGTTTGTATTTCCTCTGCTGAAATAGCGTTACAACTGAGTACCTATTACAGACTTTTTTTAAAGGAATCAGAAAATAAAGAAAGGTTCATTTACTCACTTAAATCTGTATGTGGCCTATTTTCTTTTTCAAACTCTGCAGTAGAGTGTTTAGTATGGCAATAGTGTTATTCTAATAATTGATGAATTTTGCACAGTAGAAATAAAGGATAAATAGCAAATTGTTTTCATTTGTAAGATAAAACTCTTGAAATAGCAACATTTGAAATGTTCTTATTCAAGTAATATTAGTTTACAATTATATGGTTTCAGTATACCACAACTGCTTTAATTAATTATTTCTATTGTTGCTTCTGTCATGAAGAAATACTCACTATTTTATTTCTACTGTCTTAAATCATCAGCAAATACTAGAGTTAGAGATTTGCTGTTGTAGTAAATGGTCTGAGATGGCATGCCACCATCATTTACAAGCAATTTGGTCTTCATTACAAATTAATGAAGTGATAATTGCTTACAGCAACCTTTCATGCACAAAGCAAAGCAATTGGTATTTGCATTATCTTTTTTGCAATTCATGTTTCTACATGAAGGGCTTGTGGTAGCTTGCCAAATTACCATTAAGGGAAAAATGTTAATCTACTGTGATCTATTCATAATTAAAGTAATATTTTGCATCATATTGTAAATAGATGCATGTTCTGTTTGGTGTCTAGTAAAATGCCATCTATAAAATGAAAAAAGTGCATCAGAATCATCTTAAAGGATACACTTGTTTCTATTCTAGTAAAAATTCTTAATCTAAATTGTGTTAATAAATTTAATTTTAAATAATGTCTACATTTTAACTTTGTATAAAGTGTCCATGGAAAAGATAGAGATAGACAGAGAGAGGAAAGAGTGAGAGAGAGACAGAGATAGAGAAAAAGACAGAAAGACAGAGAGAGAGTGAGAGAATGGGAGAGAGAGAAGGAAAGTGCTTGCTGCAGATGCAAGCTGTGGTAAGAGGGTTGGGGGGAGGGAAACTGGGGACATTGATGGTGGGAAATGTACAGCGTGAAGGGATGGGCATTGGAACATTATATGACTGAAACCCAATCATGAATAACTTTATAACTGTGTATCTTATGGTGATTCAACAACCAGAAATAAATAAATAAATAAATAAATAAAGGATTTTTTTTGTATTCCATAGATAAAACTTCTCCCTGAAAGTTATATTATGCATTGATTTGCTTTGAGTGTGACTATTCTATGAAAGGCATCTCAGTTTAAAATTATCAAATCTGAGACTCTCTGATAGACTTTTACTCTTAAGTGGGTTCCTTACAAGTATCTCTTCTTGGCCTTTTTCCCTCTGGAAAGCAAGATGGCAGCCACCTCGGAGCTTTCTGGAAGCCAGGTATGAGCCAGTCGTGATGGAGCAACTGAAACCTCATGGGAAGGGGGGTGTTCTCAGCTCGTCCTTCAGGCCCTACTGAGGTCACGAGTTGCCCCCTATGTGCGGCTCTCCAGCTTTGCCATGGCTCCAGAGCCACAGAAACAAATCTCATAATTATCTGACTTTTGGCAGAAATACCTCCAGGCTTAATAAGTAAAATACAGAAATCCAAAATCGCATTTACATCATTTAGATCTTGTAACCAGCTGTAGAAAACAAATTATTTCACAATGCCTTTTCAGCAGGTCTGATTTTGGGGTGTAAACTCTAAATAATAATGGTGCATCTTTTGAAAGTAGATAGAGTGTTAACTAGAATTCACCTGCCTTACAGGCATTGGGAGGGTTGGGAGGGGGGTATATTGGGGCTCTTGGTGGTGAAAAATAAGTACTGGTGAAGGGAAATGCATTTGATGATTGCATGACTGAGACAAACCTGAAAGCTTTATAACTTTTCCCACAGTGATTCAATTAAAAAAATAAATTAAAAAAAACAGGTATCTGTTCTTTAAAAAGCTTCACACATGCCACTCTGCGTTTATTAAAGACCTACATTATTACTTGTTTTCTGTAATCTAATCAATTCTCAAAAGAAATTCTGATTTTACAATAAAAGGGGAAAAGAAAAAATACTATCCTGCATGTTTTACAACAGATGTTACAGAGGCAGCTCACACACAAACCAACGAGACTTGCCTCCTGAAGTTTCAGCTGCCAGAACCTCTTTGCACAGGTTACATGTTTATCATGTCTGCTTTTGTTGCATATCCGTGTTATCTTATGTTTCGTGTTCAGTTGGTATAATCTGATGGGTTTGGAAGGGACTTTAAAAACTTAATTTTTTGCATGCCAGTTAATGGTAATTGATATGCTTATTACCATTTTGACTTTATAAAGGTTTTATAAGAAAATTCCAGCAAAGGAGAGAAAAAGGCAGATATCTTAATAAAAGAAAATATATTTAAGAACTCCCTGAACTAAGTAAATATGTGTCCAGATGTATATAATTTATGGTTCTGAAAAAAATAAACAAAAAGATATGTCCACTAAGAAATAAAAATTAAAAAGACATTAGCCAAATATAAATATGAAGTATTAAAAGTAATGAAAGTAAATTTAAAAATAAGGGAAACCCTGCAAGATGCACAGTATACTTACTAAATAAAACTCTACAGTCCAGGAAGAAAAACAAAATATATTCAGAGTTGAATGAAAGAAGCCTTCAACCAAGATAATGTATTCAGCTAGGTTATCACTAATATTTGATGAGGCGATAAAAAGCTTTTTACACACGTGCACATGCACACACACACAAAAAAAACCATTGAAGAATTCATAGTCACTAAATTGACTCGCTTCACAAGAAATATTAAAGGGTGTTTTTGCAAAAGGAAAATAAGCCCTATTCTGAATTAGTAATGTACTTTAAAATATTAAAATATTAGTAGGGAGAGTTATATTGGGTCTCTTAGAATAAGTTAGATTGGCTTAGAATTTATAATTTCACAATAATAAAAGTAAACCTGGTTGATCTACATCATGATCTGTTATGAGCAGAACTAAAAACTCTATTTAGTTATTTTGTATTTTCTGTTATGATATTGGAAACCCATCTTGTATGAATTATTTAATTTCATTATATTCATTAACTTTTTTCTTTAATTTTTCAGTGGGAAGAAATAAGTGGTGTTGATGAACATTACACACCCATCAGGACTTACCAGGTGTGTAATGTTATGGATCATAGCCAAAATAATTGGCTGAGAACGAACTGGGTGCCCAGAAACTCAGCTCAGAAGATATATGTGGAGCTCAAGTTCACTCTACGGGACTGTAATAGTATACCATTGGTTTTGGGAACTTGTAAGGAAACTTTCAACCTGTACTACATGGAGTCTGATGATGACCATGGGGTTAAATTCCGAGAGCATCAGTTTGTCAAGATTGATACCATTGCAGCTGATGAAAGTTTTACTCAAATGGACCTTGGAGATCGCATTTTAAAACTCAATACTGAGATTAGAGAAGTAGGTCCTGTCAACAAAAAGGGATTTTATTTGGCTTTTCAAGACGTTGGTGCTTGTGTTGCCTTGGTGTCTGTGAGAGTGTACTTCAAGAAGTGTCCATTCACGGTGAAGAATTTGGCTATGTTTCCAGACACAGTACCCATGGATTCTCAATCTCTGGTGGAGGTGAGAGGTTCTTGTGTGAACAATTCCAAGGAAGAAGATCCTCCTAGGATGTACTGCAGTACAGAAGGTGAATGGCTTGTACCTATTGGCAAGTGCTCATGTAATGCTGGTTATGAAGAAAGAGGATTTATGTGTCAAGGTAAGAGGTTCTTTTTTTTTAATCTTCCTTTCAGAGGTATTTTAAACCTGTGATTGATCATAGAGTAATTGGGATAAAATGAACAAAGCTAGGACTCACTTGGCAACACATTGGATTCTATGTGTAGACTAACATTGCCCCACTTGCTCTGTTGATTTAGAGTTTTGGCAGAACTATGTTTTGTTTTTTGTTGTGAAGTGCTGGCCTAAACCCTCTAGAGGTGTTAAAATTTTTATATTATGTTGTCCCTGCCCTGCAGTAACTGCAGAACCGTAATGCTAGAATAAACAAGGAAAAATCTGTCCCTTTAACATTACCAAATGAAATATCATTGGCACATATTACACCTACAATATGTTTATCCATCTCATATCACATTGTTATGTATTTCAACTTTTTAAATGTGACATTTTCTTTAATGGTATCTATACATCAGAAAAGAATAGCACTACTATCTTTATAATAATTAATTAACTTAAAAGATTGAGTGCTGTTCCAGTGTTTGATGTATAGATCTGAACTTTTATAGCATTTTTATTTTGCATCATAATTTGCCTTTTGGCTGCTCAGGAGAGTACCTATATCACACCTCAGGATAAATGCCATGTTTGAATATTAATAGAATGCTAGAGAAACTTAACTTGGTCAGCAAGTTTATTTTATGAAAAATAATGTTGGACTTGAATTCAATGAAAATGCTGTTTTCATGTAAAATTGTGATATATCGGATGAAAATGTTCACACACTCCTAAATTTTGTTATTCAGCCTTAGGCATGTTTTGTGAATCAGGCTTGTTTTGTGCTTAAGTACACATTAAAATTTCTAGTAAAAACTTTCAATATAGGGGCTGGACGATAACACAGCAGGTAGGATGTTTACCTTGCACATAACCAACCTGGATTCGATTCCCAGCATCCCATTATGGTCCCCCAAGCACTGCCAGGAATAATTCCTGAGTGTATCACTGGGTGTGACCAAATAGAAAAAAAACAACAACTTTCAATGTATAAATACATACAGCTTCATTACTTAGTCTTTGAAATTGAATTTGCTTTAATTTCAATGTTTTTTGTTATACTTGGTTAAATATTTGAGTTACTATCTACTAGTTTATATTCAGTAAGTTTTGACTTCATGAAAAAAATGTTTTATAAATAAATTGATTTGAAAATATTAAAAGATTGTATCATTTTTCATTGATTATAAAATAATGTATGCATAAAAATTTAATGAAATTAAATGGTACTGTCTAGCCTCACATTTCTCCATGTTGCTGAGATCCTTTGCAAGTAACATCAAAACATTAACTGTATTTTTGAAGGTTCTAAAACTGAAAAAAAATGCTGGCTAATTTTGTAAATACATATGAGTAGGAAAAAGTATTGATAGCCCTTGTATTCTGCTCATATTTATATTTCATCACTTTGGTATTATTTGTCATACATTTTAGTTATGAAGTTAAGAAATAAAATAATAAAAGGTGTAGTTCAGAAGAAATTAAAATTTTGGCTATTTTGTTCCTTCTGAACCAGTGTCCAATGTCAACATCAGAAGGCTTCTGGGGACGCTTGCCTTACATGCAGCGAACCTTGGTTGGATCTCTAGCGCCCCATGTGGTCCTCTACTCCATTAGGAGTGATCCTTGAGTGTAGAGCGAGGGGTAAGCTCTGAATAATGCCAAATGTGACCCCAAAACAAAACAAAATAAAAGCATATAGATGTATAACCATCTCAGTAGTATTTGCCAATTCATGATAGAGCAGTTTCTTTTTTGTAAAATTTAATATTTTATAATGAATATAATCATTAAATGTTAAGATTTTACACATATTTACACAGTACTTTTTATCTCATTCAGAGTAAGAAGAGTGTACAATAAGTGTCAGCAAAGCACATAAAACCTGTTAAATGTGCTAATACAAATAAAGTACACAAGTATATGTAACCAGAAGAACAAACTATAATAGATGAATTTAAAAGGTCATATTCATATTAAGTTCTATTTAGAGAAGTTAAAATTGTTGCTGTATTTTAAATCTTATTTTAAATTTAGAGGGCAAAGGACTCCTAAGTGGTACTCAAGAAGTCCAGGGGCCACGCCCTATAATACTTGGTCATTTTGAGGCTGCACTTCAATATGAGGGCCTAAGGATGTATTTCACTTGTGCATTCTCCTGTGTGTATGGGGTCGGAGGGAGTAGGGGTGGTGTTGGGGCCATTCCTCCAGAGCTCCACCTACTGATGCTCAGGCGGCCATGTCAAGTCAGTGACAAAACTAGGCAATATGCAAGGCAACGGTATGGAGTTCAAATGAATTTATGTTAACAAATATTTGTTTTAAACCATAAGTTCGGACATTACTATGCCTTGAGAGTCAACACTTCTTTATTTCTATTGACTTGTGTCTGTGGTAGTATATTAGTCAGCATACTATAAGGTGTACGATTTGCTCCTGCTATCTGTTGTCAATCAAAACATTGCAATGAATATTTATTTATTTCATATTATCTCCCACATCTTTTTCTAAATTTTTAGAGAAAGAATAACTAGACAAGATGACAATTCTGGGGAAGACAACGCTTAATTGAGTTGATATTTAATGAGTCCTTGGTATTTGAACTGTCACACATAATATATTACCAATGTTTTGCCAGATGAAGGAAAGCTGAAGAGATAAATTAGTGTATCTAGCATCTAAGAGTTTATGATCTAATATGAAAGTTTAATACATAAATAATTTTAAAGCAGGAAAAATATATTTTACCAGTGTTTAAAAGGTGCCTTGACAATGTAAAGGATAGAAGTTAATTTTGAATATCTCTTTAAAGATCATGAAAATTAACAAATTATGGAAACTTTTCATTAACAATGAAAAGCATCTGTATGGATAAATTTTATGTATTCCTATTGTGCTGACAATTATTTGGGTAGGGAGAAAAGGTAACTGCAGTGTCCAGCTTACACATTCCATGTGAGGTCTGTAATTTATTTATAGAATCATTTTTTTCAAAATTCCCAAATTTATAGAGTTCCAATGACTTTTTTTCCTCTGGAATTGTTCCATGGAGAGCCTTATAAAGAATCCAAAATTTGGAACTTGGACACACTTTTAAATTAATAATAACATTCTTTCTACTTATGAAAAATATTAGGGTAGTCAAAGTTTAGTGAAATAAATAAAGAAAATGTGAAAAGATCTATCTGATATAATGATATATTTTAAAAATATTTTGTTGTTAATAAAGGAGCATATCCATCAACTCCAGAACCATTAAACTAAAGTTGTTTTTGTATTGGACCAGAATTCTAAAGATAATATTTCATTTCTTTTGCACACAATGCAAACTTTCATAGTAATTATCTTTTCCTGAAATGAGAAATAGTGTGAGTTATCCTTTGAACATTAATTCAACATCTCTCAGACTCTAATATATATTAAATTTTAATTTTTGTTTGTTTTGGGGCCACACTCAGCAGTGTTCTCTGTTCCTGGGGGTCACTGGCCCCCCTACAGGGACCTGAGAGTCCCCTTGGTGTATCCAGGGTTGAATCACTATCCCAGGCCGATGGAAGGCAAAGGATAAACAAAGCAATGGGGACCACCGGGTTGGTTGGTAATCAGTGGCTGTTTATCCAAATCTTACAGCATTAGTTATAGAGAAATCATGAAGGATTGGGATAGCAATTACACATAGGTGTGGTTGAAGATCATCGTAAACAATGAACAGATGTAAAATCCTTACTTCAGGGGAATTTCTTCCAGATTTACAGAAGGACAAAATCTTATCTAAGGGCTCAGCACTCTAGATCCTTACTAAACAATCATCTTCATAACATTTCTAGTCATTTTATATGAACACAGTAATACATTAAACTTACAGGGTAGATCTTCCTGGGGACATCTTGCTATATATCCAAGACTACAGTCCTTAGACTACATTAGTCCTTCCTAACCCCACAAGGTCCTAATTGTCACTACTTTTTGGGTAGTGACTTTCAGAATTTGTTCCATGACCATGTTCTTATACTTCTTCTGGCTCTTATCCTGTCCCTTTTTAATGCAAGGGTAGCTTATAGCTTGCCCTGAGTCCATCCTTGTCCCTCCCTGGAACTGGAGTGTTAGGAAATAAAGGTAACTAAGGCCTAAGTCAATCAAATATGACAGATGCCTAGGTACAAATATTATTTGGAGTCAATTAATTCCCAAGTTACAAAAGCATAGCATTAACTGTCTGTCTATGTCTATACAAAAAAGGGGCATTGCTCTAAAGTAAACTATGCAAAGGACATAAAGAAAACAGAAAAGCAATATTTCACTCACAAATACAAAGTACAGAGCCCTCAGAAGAATTTGACTTTACAAGTTATAGAGTCTCATTTGGGGATATAAATCATTAACAGAAGAAGAAGAGCACAAAGGAGAGGTTAAAGATAAACAGTTAATTGGGAGTTCCTGATGGAATTGGGTGTGCCTCAGGAGCACTGCTGTGGGAGTAACTCAATAAAGTCAAGCTCCCTGCCATGGGGAAAAAAGATAAACCAGTGTCTCTTTCTAAAATGCTTAGAACTACAATCCAACAGCACTTCCCCATGGCTATACTCTCAGGGATCACTCTTGGCAGGGTATAGGGGATCATCTGGTCTGCCGTAATCCAAAATATAAACTCCCGTATCTACCTATCCAATCCTGAAATTTTAGTATTTGATATTTGGAAATAAAAAACAGTAGCACTCCTAAAGTATCTGGTTTCAAGGTTCAAATGTGTGTGTGTGTGTGTGTGTGTGTGTGTGTGTGTATGTGTAAAACATTTTTGGTCTCTGTTTAAAGATAAATCGCTTGGTGCATTGGGGAATTACTGGGGTTGAACCCAAGGCCTCACACATACACGTCAAATGTTCTATTTTTGAGCTGTGTGCTTGATGCCAACTATCTATAGGAAACAGACTCAAATGGCTTCTGGATCTGGTTCTTGAGGCTGACGATTAAGAACAACACATT